AACAAATATTACGCTAACCACCTTGTGTTTTTTTTCTATTTTTTTTATGGTAAAACAGTTGTTTAACAAAACTATGTTAATGGTTAGTCTTATTTAGCAATTTCACTTTAATTTATTAGTTACTAATTTTTCAATTATTTTGTAAAATAATTTAAAAAATAGTTACTAATTTTTCAATTATTTTGTAAAATAATTTAAAAAATAGTAACTCCACCCATGTTCAGATTTTGACGTTCTTCTATTTACTTAATTTTGACGTTGAATTGAAATAACTTAATAAACTAAATTACAGGTCAAAATAATGGGAGATCAAGCGAACGCGTTGTCGCAGTTAGCACACGCATCACATGTTAATTCACAAGCCATGGAGAGGTTGGCGGAAGCCTCGCAGATACAGGTAAACTATAATAATAATAATTACATTTAACCATTTTCGTTTAACAAAAAAAATGCTATTTTTTTATGGTAACAAGGATAAAAACTTCTAATAAGATCATAATAATAATAACTACCCTCCTTAGACCTAGGTTGGCTACGCCCATATCTATCCTTTAGGGGGTTTAACATCTCACCCATCCCTACACGTGTCGAGCCCCTACCAAGGGGCTCCCCCTAGCCGGGTCGTGGATAAACTAACGTAGATGCCACGGCCCGGTTGGGCGAAGGAGAACACCGCGGGGTTTAGTGGGTAGTCCGGCCGGGATTAAGGCCGGGAGTCCCACACGAAACTGTCCCTGCTGCCTCCGCAGCATGGACGGTGAAGTGCGTAAATGCATTCCCCGCGACAACAAAAAAAAAAAATTTCTATCCTTTAGGAATATTGTAACATTATTTTCGTCAACTTGACTGTTTCAAAAAGTTTGACCGTTATTAGGGTATTTGTAACATAGGGGTTCGTTCTTTTTTTTAATTATGTGCTTTTATGTAGTAATTTAACTGTTTTTTTTTTGTCAAGGCTCGCGCAGTAGAGAGGTTAGCGACGTCGTTTGAATCCATCGGTGCGTCCACACACGACGTGCGTAACGCGATGGTAGATATCGACTGTACTTTAAAGCGGCTGTATGGCAGCGCGCCCGCTTAGTGCATGTAGCCTGGCAACACTCGCCTCGGGGTTATCATCACAAAAAACTAATTTTTAAATAAAACTTCGTATTATTTATCTCGAATGTATACAAGTAATAATTAATGATTATGAATCAATTAATTTATTTAAAAAAATATTGATAATTATTAATAGGGAAATTAGATTTGTAAATTATTTTTAGCTCATCTTGCCATTTTAATGGGTTCCTTTTTGGCGTAAATTTAAGTAATGAACGGTTCACACCTGGCTAGTACAGTTGGACAGTAGCGAGCTAATACTGGACTGGCAATTAACTGGCATAGAACACTAACTTGTGCCAGTGAGTTCAAAAAAATTTTCTCTGACCAGCGCTACTGTCCAACTATACTAGTCAAGTATGAACCAGACATAATGTTATGTATAAACAATTGTGATGTTAGTATTATTTATTTTTAAGTTGTAATGTAAATATTTGTACATAATCTGTGAAAGTATTAAATGTATTATTTAAAGTTTTATGTTGTTTTTTTACATTTGTTGGGAAAATTACAATTTAGTATCACGGGTTGAATTAAAACAAATGGATAGGATTAAAAAGATGTTTATTAAAAAAATTTTTTTCTTTAAATTGAATATTGGCATTTCTTAAATACATTTTATTTATACTACTTATTCTACGTTTTCGAACTATTTTTTTCTTCATAAAATTATGACCTAACAAATATTTTAGTTTAAAATTAATTTCGTCATAAATTCCACAATACAATGCTTCGATCAACAATTGTATTTGCTCGAAGATGCAATGCATCTTTATAAAATAGAAGGATTATTCCCAACCGTCTGTGTCCTCACGTGATAATAAAAAGTTTTAGTGCCACTATCATCATTAAGGTGTCAGAGGGAACTGTTATAAAATAAAATAAGTTCCAACTGTCACCTTGACGCAAAAAGGTGGGACGGGTGAAACTTTTTTTCCAATCTGTCCCGCCGTGGAGACAGAGCGGGGTGACGGTTGGGAATAATAAAAAAAGAAGCATAGAAAGGTTTTATTTCGATAATATAATACTATCTTAAGCAGAATATGATTATAACTTTGGTATGACTTTGTTACATATGTTTACAAAGATTTAAACAGTATAAACATTACAGTATTCGTTCAAGTGATTAAAAAGTTGGTCCTTCGAGTCGGATTGAGCGTCATGTTTAAATATTTGGTATTTTTAGCTCAAATACTTCTAAAATATTTACCTAAAATGATCTAGCGAATTGTTTACACTCTGAGAAAGTGAAGTGGTTGATTACTGTTAGCTAATAATTACATAGTCTGGTTTCAATCCTTCACTTCCTTTCCCGAACGGTGGTTGAGCGTTTGTCGAACAGAAAAAGTTGCCACGAGCTCTGAAAAAAGACATTTTATATAGTTAACACAATTACATAGATAAGATAGTAAAGAATATTTCATTTTACGTCTGGTTTCTAATAAAAGAACGATTTAAGTTTAATCTGCACTAATATTATCAATAGGAAACATTTGTATTTTTGTATGTATTGAAAAAACTTAAAAACTGGGCTGATTAAAAAAACTTTCACATAAAAAACCTACGCTATTAGTGAGTAACATAGGCTATATTTTTTAATATCACGCGAGTAAAGTCTCGAGCAACAGCTAGCCTTTGTTAAAATTCGCATCAATCGTTACACTTTTTTAAAATTGCGGAAATCAATAAATTAAGAAGTTTGTGGACAGGAATGCTTAATAACCGATTTACATGTCTATCAAAAATAAGGATAAATTAACAATTAGGTAGTATCAATTTCTAAACACCTGGTGTTAATCAGATCTCCCATGTAGATGGTGATATTGCTTCTAGAATAATCGTGCATCCAGTCACGATAATTGTCTGCGTAAACAGCAGATATGTTGGTGCCGGACAGCATCGCTTCTATAAAGTACTGCCAGGAACGGTCGTGATCGCAAAGGTCTGGTAACAAAGCGATATTGTTCTGATTACACCACAAAGCTTTAGAACAGGATCCGTTAAGATGAACAATTTTACAAGTTAGTTTTTTGATATAATTAGGTTGCCTACGATCTCGCAGCGCTTACCTATATATTAATAATAAAAAGAGGAAAGATTTGTATTTTTGTATGTATTGAAAATAAAGTACTGAGCCGATTTAAATTTTCACTTTTAAAAGCTACCTTATCAGTGAGTCACACAGGATTTTTTTTAAACTTTACGTGGAGGAAGTCGCGCGCAAAAGCTACTATTTGTTAATTTTCTGGAAAAAAAGTTTTCCTATGCCACGCATTCGCGGTTTAAAGGAACGTTGCGGACATATATGATCGCTTGAACAAATGTTATTAGGCAATCTGCTACTCATTTGCTCTTACAAAAAAAAAATCATTTTTGTGATTATTATTGTGATACCTGCACGACTAAACGTCTCTTGTGGTTTTCGTGGACAGCCAGGCTGCTGCGACTTAGGGCCGTAGTAATTTGGCCATATATCCACAGTACCGGTTGACTTGCTTGTGCCGTAATTCCCGGCGTCCGTGTGTATAATGTCCACAAATAACGCGCACGTTCTGTCCAATTGTTTGAAGAAACCGAACGTTCCCTCGAACAATGCACGCGCAGGATCCAGTCCTGTTATTCTGAAAAAAAATTGAGTACAGCGCCATCTAGTTACAATTTTTTATAGCAAAAAATGTACAACTGGAGAAGACGCTATCTATCATTTGTTTTACTAATGAAATTTAATAAATACCTGCTGACGATTTTTCCTCTTTCCCTCAACCAGCGTCCAGCGTAGCCCATCACATGCGCCCCAAGGGAATGTCCCATTAAATGTATGGTATTCAAATCTACTCCAGCGCCTGACAGTGTGTGAAGTGCTCTACCGAGCGCATATCCGATCTGTAAATAAATGTATATTAGAAGTATGTGAATCACTTTTAAGGCTTTTTAGACAGAACAAATAAAACGCGCATAGCTTGACTAAACTATCGCAAAACTGTTTAGTCGCGCTTTAATTGCTATAAGCTTATATGGCGGTACATGAGTCGATTTTTAGTTTTGAAACTAAACAGTTGAATTGGCTGCAAAATAATCGACAATGGCATAAAAGTTGTGCGATCGTTCATCCAAAGATGTGCGCCCGCTTTTAGTAAAGAAAGAAAAATATATTTTTTAAAGGGACTTCCCTGTTGAGCAACAAGGTAATATTGTTTAAATTTCATTTTGAGATTTTAGTACCGCGTTTAACACTCCTTGACCATGAGTTAAAACTTTTCGAAGTAACGTACTTACGTCACGTACTGCGGATGTTGTCAGGTGAATGTGAGTGAATGTCTTTATCGTAAAGTAAATATTTACTGAAAGTTGTTGCAGACTATCTTTGTACTGAGTTTTATCTGTTTGACCCTGGATTTATACATTTATGGTTGGATTTTCAACAAAGCACTCATTTAGTTTTCTTTGTTATGTGAGCAAAGTTATTGTTTTTTTCTATGTTTCATTTAGTGGATATCTATACAAATATCTTACTTCTTACAGATATTATAAATGCGATAGTTTATTTGGATATATGTTTGTAGCCTAAATTTTTGCGTTCAGATCCGTGGATCTCGATTAAATTTGGCATAGATGTAGAGCTCATTCTGGAAGATCACATAGGCTACATTATTTTTATTTCATTCCACGCGTAGTCGCAGCGAACTCTGTTAAGTCACTAAACTAACTTCAGTAAAAGAAACTTCTACTTCTAACTAGTAGTCTTTAAGATGTCCATTCGAGTTGAACTCTATATGCAGTGGCTACTGCTGTTGGTGTCTACCCACATATCTTGTCATTAAGAAGGGATTACATTGGCCAAGGAAAAGATTTAAGAAGATACCTTTTTAGCATTTGGCGCTGCCGAAGTTGCATACCCAAGCTGCAAGCCTAGTAGACCACTTTTAGCCTCTTCTTCCCAATCCAGAAGGATAACATTCCTCTTTCTCTTTGCTATATAAGCTGTTAGGACCGCGGTGGTGGCTGGCCCGGCGACCTTGCCTTGGTAACCGAAGGTGTATATAACAGTTGGTTGACTCCGGTCCAGGCATGAGGAATGGGCTATTGGTAAAGGATACTCTAACGGAGTGACCATATACTCTGTTAGAGAACTGGAAATGAGAAATCATGTCATACTAATTTTACTAATATTATAAATGCGAAAGTTTAGATGGATTGATAGCTGGATGAAGTTTGTTAGAGTTTGTAACCTAAACAGCTGAACGGATTTCGATGATATTTGGTATAGATGTAAAGGATATACTTTAAGAACACATAGGCTACTCATTTTTATTTTTTTTAATTCAGACGGAGTTGCGGTCGAAAGTGTTACATAAGTTAACTACTTAAACAATGTAATTGCATCTGTGAAAGTAATCAAAGGATTTTTTTGGAAACTTGCCAAGTTTATTTTAAAATAAAACAATCACGTATCGTGGTTGCGCGGGGTGACCTAATCGAAGTCTTTTGTTTAGTACAAGTACGTCTTTTAGTGTCATCTGTAAGACAAACTAAATTTCCTTGTCTAATTCCAACGCACAAAGTGGGGATAATACGTCATTTGACTCAGGTATCATATTATTGTGCACTCATAGTAATACATAGCAACAGGGTTAGTAGGTCTTTATATGGACAAACACAAGACTAGGAATGCTATCTAAGAAGTTATAAAATAATAATTGCGATACTAAGCATCTATTACGCGATGAACTTGTTAGATCATTAGAAAACTGGATTCGGCGCACAACAAACAAACGAGTTATAGCGAGGTGATCGTCAGCCAGAAGAAAGCGGCGGAACGATTATGTGCGATTCACTCCTTACGCAACTATGCCGCCCTGGTACTCCACTTAGCGATACCTTGTGAAGGTTGCACGTCTGTTGTTTGGTAATCTTAATCGCATATGATGTCCTAGTACACTCGTCAACTGATTGTAGTTTTTAACTTGTCTTGTCTTGCCTACTATCACAATTCATGGCACCCTGGTAACCAGACATGAACAGGTTAATAGGTAATTAAAGAGTTGAAATGAACAGTTCAATTTTTATTTACACAAGCAAAGTTTTAACTGAACAATTCGACTCTTTAAGATCTTCAGTTGACAGTTGTTAGTAATGAATGTATATACCGGAATTTAAAAAAGACAATTTACATTTACTTGTCGTATAGGCTTGACTAAAAACCCATTTATACAATATTAATGTTGTTATTTAATTATTTCTAATTTAATATATAAGATTACGTTGTATAAGTAAAGATCGTCGTACAAGAAAACAAATGTTATCCATCAATTATTATGTATTTGATAACAATTGTTATGAAATCTGAATTGTAAATAGGTTGAGTGGAATGGATAATGGCTAACTATATATTTTTCGATAACCCGCTCTTAGGAACATGCATTTTACTACAAGGTGATAAGATAAATTTAATGTTTTCTGTATGCTGTTGTAAAATACTGCTTTGGAATTTGGGACTAGGATAAATATATGTTAGTTTTATATTGGAATATTGTTATTTCCCTCCATAGGTTCATCGACCAAACTCAATAATCGATCCTGTATATCAAACTTATTTCTTTTATCATTTAAAATCAATGATTTTTAAGCTCCATTTTTATATAATTTCGGGGAATTAAAAAAACTATGAAAAATAAATAAAATCATAAATTACACATAGCCCCTAATCCACATCAACTCCCCCAAGGAGCCCTTTACGCCCTTTTTCTGGGGCCTTTTACGCCCTCCTCTAGGTTTCAAACGGCCCCAAGGGGGCGTTATTGCCCAATATGTGACACACCGCTGTAGATCGATCCAAATAGTATTGAGATGACTTGAATGGTAAATTTTAAAATAATTGGATTGCAAATATGAACTTAAATAAAATTTTTAAATTGGATGGGTTTTTCGATGATCTATGTTGTCTTGGTAATAACCCTAACCTTTACTAACTGATATTACTAAAATTACAAAGAAGCATAGCAACTTACTCTTTATAACACCTTAACCACGCTGCCTGTGTTCTTTGGAGAGTGCCTGAAATTTAAATCCAATTGTGTCGAAATTCTAATATGTACCTAACTATTGGCGGAACATTAACAGAACTACATATCGTTTAAAATTGTAGTTAATTGTACATTACATGCCATTTATATATTCAATTTTATATAGATTTAAATGATTTTTTTTTAATGAAAAACGACATAGTTTTTATTTGCGGAAGAACTACTATCAGCCCGAAGTAATTTGAAAGTTGTCTCTGATTAAATATGAATTTCTGTATGTCTCTTTTAGATTAATTTGGTGGTTCAATTTATTCTTAATAAAAAATATACTTAAAAACGTATTTTTAAGACAACATACAACACTAATTAAAACAAATCAAACCCTCGCTCACTTACCTAAAAGCATGAAAATGATCCATAGTTTTTTAATCTGTAAATCACACATTTTATTCATTCTACACTTTCGTTTCTATGGCACTTTATTTTTTTTTCGGTGCACATTCGTGCGTTCCGGGCACTGGCATTTGACTGATGCGGACAAAACAAAAGCAACGCAACAGTTGTAAAACGAAATGCTGCGGGAATACATATATCCCTTGGATTGGATGCAATTGTATGTTAATCTTGCTTCCGCAATCGTCTTGTGTGTCGGGACCAGCATAATTAAATTTATTGCTGTTATAAAAAAGAACGAGGTTAAATAAATTACATTTGAAATGCGTTAATATAAGTCCTTAAGAATTTCAGAGTAAAATCAGTGACTTATTCCCATTGGTTATTTTTTCACTTACTCTAAAACAAGACCTTAACCTAACATTGAATATAGCATAAAACAATCATTGAAGTGTTTCGTGAAAACTTTAATTAATTTTGATAACAAGGTGACTAATAAATGTCAGTTAACAATACGTTAGGCACGCACCAATTAAATACATAATTTTGTCTACGCACATTTTGGAGGTCTTTGCCACTTTGTACTATTGGCAGTTTTAAGAGATGGTATAAGAGAAAGGTCTATAAAACACGAAAGAAGATAATATATATGCCTACAGATGTCTAATCTTAGTGTAAGTTAAAAGTTACCTTCTCCTTTTTGGAGTTTGAAAGAATTTACTTCGTTTTTTTTATTGCTCAAACCTCATTAATTCGAAACTTCTCTAAAAAACGTTCAGTTGTTTTTGAACGCATAGGTCTATCATGCACACATTAAATTTTATTTGGACCGCACTTGACATTAATTTTAATTGTTCCCACAAGGCCTTTGACCAAGACAATAGTATGTGGTTTTGAAATTAAGTCTTTTAGTATATGCTCTAATTATGCAAAGATAAAATTGCTTCAGAAACGTGCAGAAGATAAATAACTTAAAGCTAACAATATGCAATTAAGACTGTCCTTTAACTAATTATCTAAAAAAATGAAGTGGAATATGTTAAAAATTACAACATCTGGCAAGCAATGCGAACAATAACCATAGGTTTCTTGCAATTGTGGTTAAAAATCTTTACAAAAACGAATTGTCATTTCTATGTATACAATTTATTAATAGATTCTTTTAAATCCACACTGACGAAGTCTCGATCAAAAGTGTCACTGTAAAAATAATCGGTATGGTACAGTTGGTTTGAATTTTTGTACGTTGAAATTTTTCTTACTATCACCGCAATCGTTAGCCTTTGCTTACTGGACATAGGCCTTTCTCTATGCTTTCACTATTATAGGCTTTTTACTATAATATTTTAAGTATAAATTAAACCCCTCCTTTTAATCTTTGGTAGACGAATTTGGATAATCTTTAATGGTCGCTAACTATTAAAAGAAGTCTGTGTAAAACTACGAGTACACATAGCATTTTAATCTGTGCTTTTGTATGTCCGTCAGTTAGTTTAACTCAAAAAGATCCTTTAAAACCGATTGAATGTAGGTTATTAGTTCGGCCCATCTCGTCCTTGGTTGTTAATTTAGAAGTGCGTAATTTAGAAATACAAATTGATATGAAGACTGAAGGCGGCAGATAAGAAGTACACATTCGTGTCAAGAACATCCTCGATGGTTATACGGGCGAACTTGATAAAATTTTGTTGTTTTTTAAGATGTAAGGGCAAATATTTTTGTACAGAGAATGTTTTAGATTCTAATAGTACGCTTAAAACAAGTGTGTAGTTCATTAGTAACCATGTTGTTATGCTCTTTCACATTCTTTAATTATATAGAATATTATTTAATAAAAGAATACTAGCTTTCGTCCGCAACTATGTTCGCGTGGAATTGAAAAAATAAAACAAGAATGAGTAGCCTATTAGTTCGTCCAGACTATCCTCTATATCTGTACCAAATTTAATCGAAATCCGTTCAGCCGGCTACAAACTCTAACAAACATTCATCCATCCATCCATCCATCTAAACTTTCGCATTTATAATATTAGTATGAAGTATGATATGATATAATAAAAGAATATGAAATAGTATATTCGTTGGCGGTGATCAAAGTAAGTATTGAGACAGTCACCATTAATAAAGTCTATTTAACATTTTTCGATTCTATAAGGAAAGGTAGGGGTTGCCAATCTTATGTCCTTGGCGATGTCCATATAAAAGTGGAGTAGAGTAGACGGACAAAAAAGGAAGCCGCAAGCTGCAATAAAACTTGTAATAGCTGATAACTATGTAGATGACTTTATACCAGCCACCAGTCTAAAATATCACTATCAGTATTATTTTATAAATATTAGGTAAGTTATAAATTATAATTCCATTTTAAAACCTGTGTATCTACCTTAATGTCAAAAATAAAGCGAGACAACATAATTTATGTGAACAGATGTTTGAAATTTTGTTTGAAGAATACCAAAAGTTTCCAATCGTCTAGTTCTTTGCCGTGCTTGTTCCATTATAGTATAACAATGCCTTTTGCATATTGATGTAATGTTTTATCATAATCTCCATTGAATTGTATCGCTTATGACGTAATTGTAATACATTTTTGGAGTCCTATCCAAGATAGGACTTGATAGATTCCGACAAATTCGTTTTAAAATTCTTTGGACGTCTTCTTATAATAATTACGGAATTCCGACTATACATGTATTTGAATTTTTCATTTATTAATAGTAATCACTACGAAATGTTAATTTCACCTATTGAAGCTTTATGCAACAATTTCTGTTAGTTTCTTGCTCGCATATAATAGTAGGCGCTTTCTTACAGGTTTACAGAATAAATAAAATCAAACAAACTTTATTACTTATATTAGTTTAAAATTTTTATAATCAAAAACATAACGTTAGAACAACTTTTCGAATTAAATGTAATTTAACAACTTTTTTTTCACATTTATTGATATATTCATTTGTTTACTTTCTTTAACAACAAATAGGTACGTTTTCGTAGTATTTCCATAGGTCATTTTTTAATATTATTTTTAATGCTCGTATACCGTTTATAAGATTAGTTCCGGATCCTGTTATTAGGGTTTGTGCCTTCATCTCCTTTGCCGTACAGAGGTCGGTCGTTGGTCACTAAATAATAATTGCCTCTGGCCCTGAAACAATATTTGAGAAACGATATTGAATTGCATGTCAAAAAAAAAAAGAAATTCAAAACCAATCCAAAGATTATCTTAATTATTTTGAATACGAGGAAGTACAAAGTTGATCGCTCTCTAACAATAGGTACATGTATTTGCGATTGCGGTATTTAAATTAACTACGAAATTCGACCAAAAATATCTAAATCAAGCAAAAATAGGTTTAGTTTGAGTATTTGGTTCGGTCGTATGACGAGAAAAGATCTTAATTCTTACTCAGGTGAGACATATTCCCCCATATAAATAGTAGAATTGGTAGTGCCATTGGTTTTCGTCCAGGTGGCGTAGTCCGGAGAGCTGGCCGCAGGGAAACAGTTACATTCGTTTATTGTCTCCACGAAGAACTTCCACGCTAATATATGGCTACATAAACCTAAAGACAGAGAAAAATTTTGATAACACATGAAAATCGTATAAAGACTATTCGAATATTAAGCGAGAACCACGCCAGGTGAATAAACGTAGTCTGTCTGTCCCTTTTAGTTATGGGCGTGAGTTATTGATTGTAGCGTGACACGAGGTTGGTCTCACCATCTTGACTTAGCAAAGCAAACTCTCCCGTGGAACAGCCGGGTTGGACAGTTTTCCCGCCTTCATAGTTGGGCCAAAAATCAGCGGTTCCCACGCGCTCAGCAAGCCCATAGCCTCCAGGGTCCGTGTGCACGACGTCTACTTGCTTAGCACACTCGGGACCCACGCCATTTTTGAAACTTATTAATCCTGAGTACAAAGGTCTGGCTGGATCCAAACATGTTGCTCTAAAATGAAATAAAATGTTAAAAGTATAAAAAAGGGGAGAAATATGACTCTAATGACGCGTCACTAATCAAAATATGTTCTATTGTCTTGGCATCAGTTTTACGTATTAATAGTCTAATAAACACACAAAACGAATACGAAACAGGCGACGAAAGCCTTCCTTACTGTACAGTCGGGTTAACTGGCACTGGTTCCTCCTATAAAGCTACAACCGTTTGAATACTTTGAAACGAGATATGGAACAAAATCGAATACCAAGCAGCTTATAAATGTCAACGAAAAAAGTCGGTGAGTGATACACGGCTAGTTTTTTTTTATTATTATCTCTTCGTTTGCACCACTCATTGATATCTTTTACGAAGAAGCGGAATTTGTTTCGTTGCAATGAACAATTCAATTTTTTCTAAAGTGAAACACCGGGTCTTCCGCCACTGTACCTGTTAAGACGTCTATTTATTTCAATTTGTAGAAAACCCACCGTTGTAAGATATATCCCTGGTCCCGTAGCGTGTTGCCAGTGATACCAGCTATCTGAGCACCTAGGGAATGACCAACGAGATGCACCTTGGTGAACTCCAAGCCTCCGTCGCGTAAATTCAATAGAGCTGCTGCAAATCTAAATCCAACCTGCGAATAAATATAGTCGTTTTTCAAAATTTATGGCATTTGGATACTCGAAGAACTACTGCAGGCCAGACACTTTCAATAATAAGACACTCTGAGAGTCTTTTAGTACAAAATAGTTATTCAAAATCTACACTAAGCGAACTTAACTTCTAATGTAGTTAAATGATTAAAATAAGTTTAAGTAATCTAAAACATTTAGGGCCTGAGCCACCACTGGCTGATAGAGGGTTAGATAGCTTAAAAATGACGTCACGTTCGATTGTCATCAGACAATTAACAATTTGGTGGGACAGGGCCTTTGTCAGGTATAGTGTGGTATGTCTGTTTATTTCATTGATCTGTAACTTCAACTTACTTCTTGTGTATTCGATGCCGCTTTTATGTAACCCAAAATAGTTCCTAGACCTCCTATTTTCGCTTCTTCAGCCCAATCTAGGTATAAAACATTTACATCGCCTCTTTTAATGTACGCGGATAGTACAGCAACAGATTCTTCCCCGGTAACGTTCCGGTTGAAACCAGATATAAAAAATTTGGTAACTCTACTTGTATTAATACAAGACTTGTCAATTAGTGGTCGCGGGAAATCCAGTGGAACTATCAAAGGGTTATCCAAAGATCTAAAAAATAAATAAGTTACATTTAATTAAGTTATTATTAATATAAAACCGTTATTAAATTATTACATTAAATTATTATTATAAAACCCTTTTTTCATCAAGCGATTGACCGCATACAAGCCGCGACTATTGTAAATAGAGGTAGTATTTCGGTTGCTTCATCATACTTCATACTAATACTATTATTATAAATGCGAAAGTTTAGATGGATGGATGGATGGATGAATAGATGGATGTTTGTTAGAGTTTGTAGCCTAAACGGCTAAAAAGATTTAGATAAAATTCGGTACAGATGTAGACGATAGTCTGGAAGAACATAGGCGTACGGAGCCGCGGGCCAAAGCTAGTTTTCTAAAAAATAACGTCACAACAATGTTTTAAATAACCCTGTAAATTCTTACCCATTGTAACAGCGTAAAGATGCGGCATCCACGTATGTATAACCTGAAAGTGTATATTCGATACAAAACTTTTTGAATACTTTGTATAGATACAAAGGTATTGAAGAGTTAGTATAATGTGTATGAGATGATATTTCGTCTTTAAGTTTAACTGTACGAAAACCAAAGAAAATGAATACGATAAGGTAAAAATTAATATTTCTTTCTTCTTTTGGTATAACGTCATATAGGTGAAGACAATAGTTGTGAATGTCGACCCCTCTACACTAACACCTGGATGAATTTTCTGAAGGAGACATGAAGAAGGGAGTTGCAGGGTGCAGGTGAGATGACAGAAGAATCATTTTGGCCGCCCTTGTATAAATCTCGTACTATTTGATAAGATCAGTGTTAGTATACCTTTTGTAATGTTTGTGCATTAAGTTATCATATATAATAATCTTACTAATTACTAATATCTTAAATACTTGAGATTACTAATATCTTACTAATCTTACTTCTTACTAATACTATAAATGCCAAAGTTTAGATGGATGAATGGATGGATGGATGTTTGTTAGCGTTTGCAGCCTAAAAGGCTAAACGGGTTTCATTGAAATTGGGTATAAATGTACGGGATAGTTTGGAAAACACATATGATACTTTTTAATCCGGGAATAGTTACGGTTCCCGTGGGATTCATTAATTTAGTTTTTTAATGTTTACTCGATTATTCTGCAACGGTTCAACATATCTTATTGAAATTTGGCAAAGATGTAAAACAAGGTGTACTCTAACACATGAGATAAGGTTCATCCCCGAGAAATGTCCGGTTCCCGAGGGATACGTAGCTTTTTGTTATTCATATAGTTCGTATGTTTTCTAATACCACGCGGAAGAAGTCGCGGGCAACAGCTAGTAAATAAATAAAAAGTAAAATGATTGTATTTGTCTATAATTCACTTACCTAAAAGTAAAATTGTCCACATAATTCTGGACATCGAGTCGTACATTCTCTTGAAGTGCTGTCTGTCAGTTCTGAAGAAACGGCAACATAAATGATAACTTAAAATGTAATGTTCTATTAAGAAAAAAACGACATTTTTATAATGTACATAATTGTACCCATATTTAATTGCAAATTGCTTTAAGTACGTAATATTCGATCGGTTTGTAATTGAAATTAGATAACCTAGTAATAAATGTTTACAAATTATACCATAAAATAGATAAAATTGACAATTAATGTCGTATATTTATAGGATATTTGGTACAAAAAAATTGTCAAATAACTTCATTATTTGTGTAAATGAAAACAGCGAAATACGGACGGAAAAATTTTAACAATTCAATTAATTACAGAATTAATTATAGGTTAATTTGTAATTCATTTGGACTCTTCCCGGTAGAGGCAAGTCGATATCGGTATGGTACATCTAACAAAAAAAACCTCTTAGGAGGCTTAGAGAAAACTATGATAGACATACATATTTCTACTAATCTAAATACATATATGGAGAAGTATTAATAGTAAGAAAAAAAGTATACTTTCGCCCATAGAGGAATAGAAAATAAAAAATGATTGGAATCGAGTAAGGGACATCGTACAAAGGTATCTTATAGCAACAGCAGTTTATTTGTATATAAAAACATCACACATAGTCAAATAAATATGTATTATTAAATGAGAAAAAAGTTGACCATTTACTCTTTTATACAGTCAACTATGGATTTATCTCTCTCCTTCTGCGCTTTACTTATCAAAAAAAAACGTTCGAAATCTAATAAGACTTCTGAGAAAACTTACATTGAACAACTTATTGATATCTTTTGACTTGAATTATATAGAAGTTACTTTTCGTCAATTTACATTTAATATTAAACAACACTGCAATGCCAAAGCTTCGTAAGCAATGAAGATTCGAAATTTAAAAAAAATATGAAATGTTAAGAAAACATCAGCAATGGCCTTCTGATACAAATTAAATATGTAGCTATCAAATATGACACAGGTGCGGGAAAAATGCGAACAATATAACTTTTGTTTCATAAATTCGTTCAAGGAAAAGCGTATTTTATGCGAAGAATAAATATTTAGCGATTGTCGCAGACTAGTCATTGCTCGTGACTTCTTCAGCGTGGAATTAAAAATAACCTAAGTTACTTCTGTGTACATCAGTTAACTTCTATTAAAAGTCTTGTCAAAGCCAACACAGCCGTTTCGACAAACAGAGAGAAAAATAGATTTCGTTCGTATCGCGAACGCATCATGGTCACGAAATGTGAATTATGTTAATTTTGATTTATATGTAAAAAACTATTAGTAGGTTTTCGTTAATTTATTATTATTACCTTTAACCATTCCAACTAAGCTCTAGGCTTATCTTAGGATACGGTTTACAACAGTCGAATAGCAGGATGCGAACCTTCGATCGCAACACTAAACCATACATCAAACCATAAGGCTATTGGCGCTTATTTTTTTGACTGTAAGAAATAGATGCATTCACTCACTTGGAAATAAAAGTCAGATTTTGTCGAAATAAGACACAATAAAATCTGTACAGAGCTTTATTTTGAATTATCATTAGGTTAACATTCACTTCTGATTTGATGATTGATAAAAAAAGGTTCTTCTTCTTAAGGGTTATTTTCTTGAGCACAGTCTCACGTAAATAGGTTCTGTTGAACGAAGCAAAATGTCGAGCTTGTATGTCAGTTCTTCTGGTTTAGTGACGGGCTCAAGTCGGAAGCGACGCATCAGTGCAGACATGAAGGTCTTCATTTCGAGCATAGCAAACTTTTGACCTGTGTAAATAAGTTTAGTTTAGGACGACCCGACTATTAAAGTGGATTCTCCTTCCAATCCAGTCCTGATATTTAAAAAAAACTTTATAAGAACGGAAAGAAGAAGAAAGAAGAACTGTGAAGGGAAAATTAAGCGCCTATAACCTAATGGTTTGGGGTACGGACTACCGATCTTGAGGTCGAGATTTCGAATCCTGCCATTCGATTATTGTCGTGAACCATATCCTAGCACAAGACCAGAGCCTAGTTGGAATGGTTAAAGGAAATATTAGTAAATTAACAAAAATCTACTAATACTTTCATTAAAAAAATGGACTAAAATTACTTTTAAAACAAACCTATACAATTTCTTGGTCCGGCACTGAATGGTATATAGGCGTAAGGATGTCGATTGATGGAGTTCTCCGGTAGAAAGCGTTCCGGTATAAACTTCTCCGGTTCAGGATATACATCCGGACGCCTATGCAGATCGTAAATGTGGATGCCGATATAACTGTTTTTAGGTACAGTGCGTCCACCTAAAATAATAAATTAAAGGCTAAAGAAATGACATATGACACATCTGATAAAGAGAAAAAAAGAGAATTTCATGCATTACTAGCTTACTCCCGCGACTTCGTCCGTGGGAAATTAAAAAATGAAAGTAAGTAGCCAATGTGTTCTTCGAGACTATCCTCTACATCTAAGCCAGATTTCACCGAGGTTCGAGCAGAATTAATAATATAAACGTTCTAAGAGTTTCGACCAACATATCAAGAAGCTCTCGCTAGACAGTTGGATTAAGGGCCCGATACAAAAGGCGGTTATATTAGAAACCGCACGTATTGTAAGGAGGTTCCTGTCTCAGCAGCCCTGACCACTGGTTGCTTGAGTAATCGGATTCCGCTGCCGGTGGTGTTCATTTTTTTTATATAAAATGTACTATATTATTTTTTAATACAAATCATGTAAAATATATTATATATAAAATAAGAAATATAGATATTTGAACATTAAACCTTCTAAAATACCTTAAAAACTAGTAACTATCTTTACATTTGATTGTTCCTTTTCATCTAAGAGCTTTCTTAGTATTGTTAGATTAAAACCCGAAGGAAAACGACTCACTGAGGATGACATCTTGTGTAATGTGCCTGACAATGACAGGCGCGCTCGGGTACAGTCTCAATGATTCCTTTATGCAGCACTCCAGATACTTCATCTCGCTCAAATCTTCTATAGTACACGTTCGACGAGAGTCCCCGAATATTCTTTGCTGTTCTTCGTAAATTAACTCCTGTACCAATTATTATAATAGATTATATAGATTAGATATTATTAGACTAGCTTTAGCCCGCGACTCCGTCCGCGTGAAGAAATAAACAAAAGTAGCATATGTGTTCTTCCAGACTGTCCTCTACATCTGTACAAAATTTCATCGAAATCCGTTCAGCCGTTTAGGCTACAAACTCTAACAAACGTCCATCCATCTAAACTTTCGCATTTATAATATTAGTATGATGAAGTATGAAGTATGATAGTATGATTAGCAGTTAGATGTTTAGGTATTAAGGTTATTTACCTGTACTCGAGGCTCGTTTGCGATGCTCATCATTAAAAAGCTGTGCGCTATAGCACACGTGTCATGGCCCTGAAAAATAATACAACGTCAAACCGTATTTAAAACAATACAATTAAACAACAATACGATTTAATTTTTAAAACTGTCGCGCCGTAGCGTTTATCAGACGTTGAGACGACACGACGGCAAAGGAATATTAAGAAAAGGGCAGGTTAAGTTAAAACCCTTGCAACAGTACTGCTGCGCTTACTATTGTGTCATTGTTGTTTATTTATTGATATACGAGCTGATGCCCGCAACTTCGCCCGCGTAGTATTAGAAAACATACGAACTATATAAATTACAAATAGCTACGTATTCCTCGGGAACCGGACATTTCTCGG